TGTTCGGCTTTTTAGTGCTGGTTGGGGCCCGTAATTTGTGGGGAACGGGCTGAGAACAGATTTGCTGCCTCAGGGAACCAGGGGCTGTGGCATCATTTAGGAAAACACCCTCAGCTTCCTATTTCCACCCAGAAATGGGGGAAATTGTGCCCAGGCTGGGGTTGTTGCTCCTTGTTTGGCATTTGCACCATCCTGGTGGGCAGGGAGAGATGGGATATTGGGAAGGAATTGCTGGCTGGGAGGGTGGGCAGGCCCTGGCACAGGTTGGGCAGAGAAGCTGTGGCTGCCCCTGGATCCCTGGAAGTGTCCAAGGCCAGGCTGGAGCAACCTGTGCCAGTGGAAGGTGTCCCTGCCCATGGCAGGGGGTGGGACTGGGTGATTTTAAGGTCCCTTCCAACCCAAACCATTCCATGTTTCTGTGATTAGTCCAGGCACCAGGTTTCTCTGTGATCAGCCAGTCACAATATTTGAGGACAAGAAGAACCTCAGGGCAGGGGCCTGGTGGCTCCACCAGTTGTCTGCCCATGGCTGTTGACCGTGGTCTTTGTCCCCTCTGTGTCCCCTCCCGAGCTGTGACCCCTCTGTTGAGGCCCCTCTCAAAGCAGTTCCTCTCGTGCTGAGTGTCTGAGGGATGCTCCTTATTTGCATAGATTTGAATAATGTCAACTTTATTGTGCTGTTAAGCCTTCAATAAAAAGGGAATCACTTCAATAATTCAGCAGTGGCTTTATCAAAACACTCCAGGTGGAAGTCGCTGGCAGGGGCAGGTTTGAAGCATCTGATAAAAGGTGTCAAAAAGTTTGGAGATCTCCCTCTTTTTATACAGTTTTTAGAAGTTTGCCGTTCAAAGCCACCTCTCAGGTTGAATCCCAAGCGTTTTGATCTCTGCTTTTTTTCCAAGCCTGCCCAAAACCTCGTTGCAGGAGAACAGCTTGGATGTGCAAAAAGAGGGAATGGCTGGAGCTGTGCCAGGGCAGGCTCAGGGTGGATCTCAGCAGAAGGTTCTTCCCCCAGAGGGTGGTTGGCACTGCCCAGGCTCCCCAGGGCAGTGGGCACAGCCCCAAGGCTGCCAGAGCTCCAGGAGGGTTTGGATATGATGGATTGTTGGGGTGTCTGTGCAGGGCCAGGAGTTGGACTGGATGGTCCGTGTGGGTCCCTTCCCGCTCAGGATATCCATGATTCTGTGACAAGAGCACTCAGGGTTGGGGACAGAAAGGACACCTGAGCACTTCTGAGGTCTCCCCACCAAAATTCCACTTGGTGAGGCCACCCAGCCTCTCCTCACCCCTTTTTGTGCCGTGGTGACACCTCCAGAGGTCCCATCCGAACACGGCCGTGGGTGAGATCCGCGATCCGGAGCCCCACGGACCCTCGTGGGTTTCCCTCGCTGCGTGACTGAGGACAGTCCCACAGGGGCTCCGTGTCCCACAGAGGGCACAGCTCGCCCTTCACTCCCAGCTGACCCCCTGCTCGCAGCCAATTCCTCATTCCCATCACTCCTGCCTGAGTCACTCCCGTCATTCCGGCCGGGCGAGCACAGCTCGGAGCTGAGAGCTGCACTCTGAGTCACAGCTCAGAAAGCAGGGGCCTGAACTGTCAAAAATGAATGGACAGGATTTGATTCTTCGGGCTGGTTTTTGTTGTCACGCTTTGTTGTCTCGGGAAGAGCTGGATTTGATGGAAAATAGGCTGGTTTTCCACCCCCCCCCCCTCCTTTTTAGCTTTAAGATCCAGATCAGCTGCAGCAAAACGATGCTGGGCTTAATTCCCTCCAAATTAGTTTGCAACTGCCTGACAGGGTTTTGGGTGCATCGTTATCCTTGCTGTGGTTGAGAGAAATGAAATTCCCCCGTGCAAAAATGTTAACCTTTTTTTAACTAACCTTCAGGTTTTTTTGGGAATGTTCAGCTTGGAAAGGAAGAGGCTTCGGGGTGACCTAATTGTGGCTTTCCAGGACCTGAAGGAGCTGACAAGAAAGAGGAGAGGGACTGGGGACAAGGCATGGAGGGACAGGACACAGGGAATGGCTTCCCACTGCCAGAGGGCAGGAACAGATGGGATATTGGGAAGGAATTGCTGGTTGTGAGGGTGGGGAGGTCCTGGCCCAGGTTGGGCAGAGATGCTGTGGCTGCCCCTGGATCCCTGGAAGTGTCCCAGGCCAGGTTGGAGCAATCTGGGCTAGTGGAAGGTGTCCCTGCCCACGGCAGGGGGTGGAAATGAGATGATATTTAAGGTCCCTTCCAACCCAAACCATTCCATGATTCCTTTCTGAGCAGGCTGACCAGGGAAGGAAGGAGGCCCAGAGGTCCCTCCTGTCCCCAGCCCTCTGTGGTGTGGAATCAGGGGAGCAGAGAGGAGGCAGATGTGTGACCTTGAGGAACGAGATGAAAATCCCGTGGGAAGGGCAAAGATTGTGCCCAGGAGGGCTCAGAATGAGGGTTTGTGCTGCACACTCAGGGCCCATTACTGGGAAGGGCAGAGGAGGAGGGAGGGCCCAGCTTGGGGCTGGGATGAGCAAAATGAGCCTCCAAGTCCCTCCAGCTCCCTGAGTGATAACGAACAGCTTGGATTTCTTCCTGGTTCATGATGGGCAGGAGACTCTGGGGGATTTTGCTGCCATTACAGAGGTGCTGTCAGAGCCTGAATCACCTCTCAGGTCACCTGTGCCCCAGAGCAGCTGAGGAGGTGTTGGAGAGCTGGAGGAGGCAGGGCTTGTGTTCAGAGCAGGAATTCAAGGTGCTACTCAATCAACTGAGCCTGAAGAAGCCCAGGGAGAAGGTTAAAGGCACAGAGGAATGGCAGAGGGATGAATAAATTGAGGTGGGAAGGATTTGAGGTTAAACAAGAAAGTTTCTGGTGGCAGAGCCATGAGACCCAGGAGCAGGGAGCCTCTGGGAAGGTGATGGCCCAGGCTGAAAGTGTAACTGCTTTGAAAGCTGAGGATTGGCCTTTCATGTGCCTGCATTAGGGAAGGGCTGGGTTTGGTGACTGGGGATGGATTTTCCAGCCTCCTGTTTCTGTGAGTTGGCTGGAGGGTGAGGAGGATGTGGTGCTGAGAATCCTCAGTGGTTGGGAAGGACTTTAAAGGTCTTCTCATTCCAGTCTTCCACTTCATTGCTCCAGCCTGGCCTTGGACACTCCCAGGGATCCAGGGGCAGCCACAGCTTCTCTGCCCAACCTGTGCCAGGGCCTCCCTACCCTCCCAGCCAGCAATTCCTTCCCAATATCCCATCTCTCCCTGCCCTCTGGCAGTGGGAAGCCATTCCCTGTGTGCTGTCCCTCCATGCCTTGTCCCCAGTCCCTCTCCAGCTCTCCTGGAGCCCCTTTAGGCCCTGCCAGGGGCTCTCAGGTCTCCCTGGAGCCTTCTCTTCTCCAGGGGAACCCCCCCAGCTCTCCCAGCCTGGCTCCAGAGCAGAGGGGCTCCAGCCCTGGCAGCACCTCTGTGACCATTAATCCATTAGGAGTCAAACCCAAATCGATTAAAGAGCATCAGAAAGGACAATCTCTTCCTTTTCACTCGCTCCTTCATCCTTCTCTTCCCCCCATCACTTCCCTGCCTGGTCTTTGCTTCCCACTCTGCTCAGCACCGAGGATGAGGTGAGAGCCCCGAGCACCGCCCTCCAAACTCTGGGATTCACCAGCTCTCTGTTACTAACAGTGAGATTCTCGACTCTGCCCAGCAGAAAATCAACTTTGTGCTTGGTTCTTGCTCCCAGACACCCGTGGGCTGCATCCCTGCAGTTCCCTCTCCCAGCTCTCTCCGTTCCCTCTGCTAATTCCAGGATATGGCACCAGGATGTGCTTGGGTGGGGGGGAAAGCTTCATCCTGAGTTTGTCCCTTCGCTGGGGGTGGGGAGGTGAAGCAATCTGCTGGCCCAGCCCAGGCAGGAAGAGCAGCTTCCATCAGCCAGCCCCGTGGAACACGCATTTCTCTGCCTCACGCACAGCAGCAAAATCCCGCTGCAGTTGTGGCAGGAAGGGGAGATATGGAAGCAGTTTTGGGTTTCATTTTGCTGGCTGTCAGCTCCCTTTGTCTCTTTTATTGAGCAGCAGTAATTTAACAGCCTTGTTTGACTCCTGCTCGGGCTCTTTCAGTGCCTTGTGTTGTATTGAGTTTCTGCTGAACGTTCAAGTGCGGTGCTGCAGTTTGATGCCTGGTGGAAAAAGCAATAATTATTTCATTAATACCAGGGTAGAACTTGTCCATACTAAACAAGAAAGGAGAAAGCACCGAGTGCATCGTGTAAAATAATGTTGCTCAGCTTTTATTTGCTGTTGTGGAACAAAAGAAGACTCTCTCTTGTACCTGTCCTCTTTGTGCACTCTTGCAACCTCCTCTTTTTGGAGAAGGGACCTCGTTTGGGTTGGAAGGGACCTTAAAATCATCCAGTTCCAACCCCCTGACGTGGGCAGGGACACCTTCCACCAGCCCAGGGTGCTCCAACCTGGCCTTGGACACTTCCAGGGATCCAGGGGCAGCCACAGCTTCTCTGCCCAACCTGGGCCAGGGCCTGCCCACCCTCACAGCCAGCAATTCCTTCCCAATATCCCATCTAACCCTGTTCTTTGCTGTGTTAATGCAGAGAGCGTTGTGGGGGTGAAACCTGGGGTGAAACTCTGGAAAGAGAAGTCGAACTCAGTACCCTGTGGTGGGACGTGCTGATGCTCTGGGTACTCTGCTGATGGGTTTGAAGGAAAAGCAAACCCAGCCCCGTTGTTTAACTGAGCTGCTCCCCTGTGGTTGAATTTAGGGGGGAATACCAGCCCTGTGCAGTGCTTGGCTCTGGAACAGCCTGATTTTCATGAAGTGCCCGTGTTCCTTGGCTTTGATTGTTGCTGACACCGGTTTCAGCTTTGCTGCCTTTGTGCTGGAAACCCTCCAGGCAACAGCGCCATGGTTCATGCCCTGGAGCTTGCAGGAGCTGGGGAAACCGAGGCTGGGGGAGGAGGGGGTTGGAACAGGCTGTGTGACAGTTTTGTCCCCTTTCTGCCCCCTGCAGACGGTACCAAAGCCCATCGCGCTCGAGCCCTGCTTCGGGAACAAAGCGGCCGTTCTCTCCGTCTTCGTGAGGTTGCCTCGAGGACTTGGGGGAATTCCACCACCAGGACAGTCAGGTGAGGGTTATTCCTGGCTCTCGTGGCTTGGTATCAACTCCATGCTCCTTCCCCAGCCTTACAGATCCACCTTTCCTGATCCCACAGAGCTGCTGCTCCCACACCCCGGCTCGGGGTGTTTTGGGCTCCACCAGGTTGGGCTCTGGTGGCTTCTGAGCTGAGCTTGGAAGCAATTCCTTGGGTCAGGTGGTGGATGAAGATTTGATGTTTGGATTATGCTCTAATTAGTGCCTGGGGAAAAAGGGGCATCTGGTACAGACAGCTTTGCAGTGGTTCCTCATCAGAAGTAACTTGTCACTGTTCCACTTCATTCCCAGCTCCATTTGTAGGGAGACATCAAGTCATAGAATCATGGGATGGTTTGGCTTGGAAGGGACCTTAAAGATCATCTTGTTCCACCCCCTCTGCCATGAGCAGGGACACCTCCCACTGTCTCAGCTTGTTCAAAGCCCCATCCCTGGAAGTGTCCAAGGCCAGGTTGGAAAAGGCTTGGAGCGACCTGGGGTTGGGGAAGGTGTCCCTGCTGGAACTGGATGATCTTTGAGGTCCCTTCCAACCCAAACCATTCCCTGATTCCCTGACCTGCCGTGAGGAGGTTGCAGAGATGATGGATCCCCGGGAAGTTCAGGGACACCTCCGTGCCCACGTTCTTCCAGGTTTATTGTGACCCCTCTACCGATGCAGAAACAACCTTCAGTATTAAGGGTTCACACCCATTAATCCCCACGCTTCCTGCAGCTTTTCCTGCCCAACTTGCTCCCAGTTTCAGCTTATTCCAGGACAGTGGCTGGAGTTTAACCCTTCAGCCAAAACGCTCTTCAGCTCCACCCCGAAAATCCCGCGCATTTTGCGGCCTGGAGGGTTCCCCTCAGCCCTGGCTGTGGGATTTGCTGCTGTGCCCCCTTTTGTTCCCTGACTCTTTGCTCTGCTGCCCCAGGTCTCGCCGTGGCCAGCGCTCTGGTGGACATTTCACAACAGATGCCAATTGCCTACAAAGAGAAATCGGGCGCCGTCCGAAATCGGAAGCAGCAGCCCCCTGCACAGCCAGGAACCTGTATTTGATGCATGGACATCACAAACTCTCTTAGGGTTTTAAACAAAATGGAAAAGGAATCCCGAGGAGGAGGAGGAGGAGGAGGAGGAGGAGGAAGATTTCCAAGTTGTGTCCCAAGAGACTCGAAGCACTCGGAAAAAAAAACAAAACAAAACCGAAACCACACCTTCCTTGATCCCGACTTTTTTCTCTCATCTCCGTGCTCTAGTTGGCTTTATTTGACGACTGCTCCACTTAAGTTTTACTGACAACGTGGCTTCAGGTTGCTCCTTTTTTTTTTTTTTCCTTTTTTTTTTTTTTTTTTGTTGTTGTTTTCCTTGGAGTTCTAAGTGAAATAATTTTATTGCAGGGGGTCGGTGTTTCCAGTCCCTGCCGGGTGTAAATAAGAACAGTAGTCCAATATGAATGACACTCAGGTTTCTACATGGAAAGTGCTTTGTAGTTCATGTATTTATCAAACTGTACAAAAAGAGAGAGAGAGAGAGAAAAAAAAAAGAAAAAAAAGATCCAGTGTTTACAGGTGTCAGCTCTCAACACATAAACACTACTATTAATCTTCAAAGCATCCTCATCCTTTGTTTTCATTTAGTGTTTAATTCTCCCCTTGTTTTTGGTCAATTGTTTTCAGCAGAACTCTCTTCCAGACACAGCCTTTTTTTTTTTTTTTTTTTCCTGTGTGTGTGTGTGTTTGTTTTTATTGTTTGTTTGTTTGTTTGTTTTGTTAAGTCATCACGGTCCAGGAATGCAAAAGCTGGGATGGTTTGAAGGTTGCTGTTGCTCAGAAATAACTGGAAAAAGCCGGATGTTGCCCTGGAAGGACTCGGTGTTTACACAGTCTTAACCTGCTTGGAGTACCCCACACACAAGTGCCTAGACTTGAACAGCTCTAGGGGGTGAGGAGACCGCTCCACACGCTTCTGAACACCATTCAGTTCCTTTGGAAACATCTGCACCCTCACATCTAGGCTCTCCCAAGGCAGCCTGTGTTCTCTGTGCCAGGAAAAAGGGCCTTTTCCTGCCTGACCCCCGCTGCTCACCCAGGTGGAAATCCCTGGAGGGCAAGTCGAGTTCCGGCGCCTCACCAGAGAACTGCTGGTTCCACCAGCGCTTTCACAGCAGCACTTTGTGTTCCAGGCTGGGTGCAGCAGATTATTCCTCCTGATTTTGGCCTCTTTTCCTCTCCCCCCCCTTCCCTCATCAGAGCCCTTTGCTCCACCTCCTGCAGGGGTGAAACTCAACGCTCCACGTGCCACGAGCGCTCGAGGATGACGTAAAAAAAAGCCCCAAACTTGAGACAAAAATCAAGCAGAGCAGCTTGGTTTGGAGACCTGCCGGTGTTTGCTGATGGGTTTGAGCTCTGTAGATGTCTCTGAAGAAGTGGCTGGTTGGGGAAAGGATTTTGTGAACAGCAGAGGGAAGTTTGGCTTTTTTTTGGGGGGGGTGTTTGCACGGAGCCATCTGAACCGCTCTGGTGAGTGGGGGTTGTGTTTTGAGGCTCAGGGTTGGGCTTGATGAGCCAGGGTTGTGTTTTGAGGCTCAGGTTTAGGCTGGAGGTTGGGCTTAACCCACCCATCTGCCCAGGCATGGTGGTGGTGGTGCCCAGTGTTTCCTTGGAGTCTGGAATGTGGCACAGCCGGGCCCCCCAGAGACTTGGGGGTGTTGGAACTTGGGGTGTTGGAAGGTCTTAGTGAAAAGGTGCCAAACTGTGTAATTAGGGCTTAATAACAGTCATTTTGGGTGCAGTCACCTGACTGTGTGGAGAACATCTCATAGTTACCAAACGCCCAGGGATCTTCGGGTCAGGTGGCACTTTAACCCAAACTGAAACCCAAATCACTGCATCTGTTTGGTTTTTTTTTTAATGCACCTTTTTGGTGATCAGTCACATCAACCACTTGTTTTTTTTTAGACTGTTTTCCTTTTTTTCTAACCTCTGTGTTTTGAAGAGGCTTCTCAGAGCGTCGCAGCAAAGATGGAAATTGGTGGCAGAGGGGATGGGAACAGCCCATCAGGTGGTTTGGGGACCCTGGTGGGTGATAATTCCCCTTTAATGTGTCATTTAACAAGTGCAAGGGGACTGCAAAAGGGTGTCAGGAGAGGCGAAAAATATTAAGGGGGGAAAAAAATCGCATTTTATATCTAAATATATCTAAATACAGATAAACGCCTCAGTTTCCAAACCCAAAGTTTAAAGGCCCTCTGGGAAAAAGGAATTCTGGGAGGGAAAAGAGGGGGAGTTTTGTGTTTTAGGATGAAGGGATTTAGGTGGTTTGAGGTTCTACCTGATGCACAGATTACCTCAGACAGGTTCATCTCCTCGTAGCACTTCCTGCCTCTCTCTGTGATAGGACTGACCTGAACTGGAGAAATAAGACTGGACTAAAATCCCTCCCCTGTTGTTCCATGTTTTCCTCATGTTAAACAGCTCCTGGGACTGGAGGCTTGGAGAGGTGATAGATTTTTACATTCACAAAAAGACGTAAATATTGATTTTTGGAGGGGTTTCCTCACCCCTGGAGAGATGATTTATCAAGTCTGCAAAGCCACAAAACGTCAGATTTTTGGGGGGAAAAGAGCAGAAATGATCAAAGTTTTGAGGTTTAGCAGAACAAAAGGTAAAAAAAAAAAAAGTCAATAGAGGGACAAGAGTTATTTCTATAAATAAAAGGGTTATTTGTATAAATAAAAAGCTCCTTTGGGACAGAGCTCTGCTCTGCATCTGATCTCCAAACCTGATGAGGGACAGGAGAACTCATACAGGAGCTCTGCTGCAGTTTCATCCCGACTCCAAGGTAAAACAGGGGAAAAAAAGTGGGAATGAGTGGGAATTTCTGGGGGTTTATCACCAGATATCACCAATATCAACAGGGAAGGCTTTGTGAGATTATTTCCTTTGGAGGTTAAGTGGAAGAGGGGGAAAGAACAACCTGATTTTCTGAGAGAAACTGTAAATAAATGACAATTAACACCCAGATTTTGCACTTGTACATAAAACCTACGGCAACTTGCAGAACGTGGAGAGGTTTAAAATGTGCATAAACCAGGAAAAAAAACCACAAAACAACAAACAATTGAATGTATTTTTGATGCTTTTTAAGTGCTACATGAGTTTTGTCTTAATAACTCCCTCAGCTGATCAGAGGGAGGGCACTTTCCAGAGCTTTGAACATCGGCTGATGTCGTGAGATCTCGCCAAGCGGGGAGGAATAAATTCAATTTTCTGTGTTCAGATCACTCCAGAGGAGAAACCAAGGGAAAGAACAGCTTTGTCCATTGGAAAAGGGGGGAAAACCCAACGCTTGGGACACAAGGAGTGACTGTCCCTAAAGGAGTCACCTCGTGGAGGATTAAGGCAGCACTTTAAGCCGCTGTTATTAAGATTGTGGCAGTGATTTCCACCCAAAATCACTGGTTTTGGGTGTTTGGAACTGGCTGAAATTCAGCATTGGATGTCTCAACCCTCAGAACTTCCCAGTTCTTTGAGAACTTTACCAAAAATTAATAATAAAAGCTCAGAAGTGTTGCAGCCCTTTTTAAAGCAGTGCTGCTGCTGGATCTGCAAACTCCAAAAACCACTCTTGTTTTTCTCTTTAATTCCCTGTTTTCCAGGGGTTTTAACTGGGAATTTTCTCTGGGCTGTCTCAGCCTGACCCTGCCACGCTCCGGGGTGGTATTTTTGGGTACAGGAAGGTTTGTGAGACACAACTTTTTGAGGTGGTTGTCGCTCTCCCTGGGCTTAAAAAGGGCTGGATGAAAATTTGCCAAAATCAAGCTGTTCATGGTGGGGAGTTTAACCCAAATCATGGAGTGTCCCAAAATCCAGTGGGACGGTGCCATCAGCACGTGGCAGCTCCTTTGGTCGCTTCCCTAGGGATAATTTGTGTCCCTAAACACCATCTTCATCCTCAGAAACATCATTTCTCCGTGGTAAATGTTCCCAAGGAGCGCAGGCAGTGGGATTGTGGAATGGTTTTCCGTGCAAGCTCAGCTCGTCCCCACCCTCAATAAGCTGAATTTTGAGGCTGAAATGGAACTTGAGGCTTTTCCCGTGAGCTGCTGGAATTCCAGAGCTACCCCTCCATCCAGCTGCTTTCCCAAGAAACCCTGAGTTAATCAGCTGCATCCCAGAAAACCTTTTTCCCCTGGAAGCAGGGCCTCGCTGCCACTGAGCTGGGGAGGGAGCAGAGAGCGGACTCGGCATTCCCGGAGCGAATTCCCAACCTCACCCATCTGCATCTCCCATGTTATCCATCCAGGAATACCACAGGGGAGGGGAGGGCTGAGCTGCAGGAGAGGGAATTGTGAGGGGTTTATTGGGAAGATCTTTGGGGCTGCAGGAGGAAGGGGTGGGGGGGTTGTCCCTGTCTTATTCTTGGCGATTTTTTAGGTCCAATTCCCGCTTTTCCCGTCGGGAGCTGCTGAAACGAGCGGGGTTTGCCACTCCAGGACTGCGAGATGTGTTTGTGTTGGGTTGTGTTTTTTTCCTGCATCAGGGCAGGTTTTATTCAGTTTATTCCCCTTGTTCCCACGGACTGTTGGTGTTTGTCTTCCAGGTACTGCAATTCCTCGACCGTTCCCCCCCCCCCTCTCCGTTTATCCCACAAACCTCGTCAGGAGAAAGAAGGAAAAAAAAAAAATTAACAAAATAAATAAAAATTGTGGAGGAGTGTAACATAAGTCAGTCCATTTTTTTTACAAAAATTAAAAATACTAAAAAAAAATAAAAAAAGAGAAAAAGCAGATTTTCTATTGCTCGGCAGTTTGTGCACAATAAACGTTCTTTCAGACCCTCCAATTTGTTGCATTCTGGATTTTCTTTGTGTTTTGTTTTTTTTTTCCTTCCCCCCCTTTGCCCTGGAATTATTTCCCATTCTCTGCGTTCCCTACTCGGGCTTAAGTTTGTTAATCTCGTCTAATTTGGCATTTCTGGCATCCGTGTGTAAATAGGAGCGAGGCTTGTAAATTATTCCATCGCCGGGGTCGTGGGTGTGACACGAGCACACATTTAGGACTGTGGGGTTTGGTTTTTTTTTTTGGGATGATTTTTTTTCTATTGTAAAAAGGAACAGCTCATTTAAAGCCGCAACGAGATAAAACTTGGGAGCTCTGTGCGTTTTAAATACAAATGTGAAGTACCTGTATATAAATAAAAGTAAATAATGCAAAAAAAAAAAAAGAAAAAAAAAATCTTTCCTCTGAAATAAAAAGTAGATGATCTGGTTAATTATTTTTTTCTTGATTTTTTTTCTTGAGTTTGTTAAAATGGGGGAAGAAATAATTTAATAATTTATTTGAAGGCTCCTGGGTGAAAGGGGGGGTGGGGAGCGAGGGGTTGTTTCTTCCAGGGTGGATCTCAAGGGGTTCCTGCCACATCCATGGAATTTGGTGCAGATTTGGAATAAATATATAAAATTTATATATATATATTTATATTTAATAACCTATCACCCTCCTCTCTGGTGCCTCAGGGAAGCCCTTGCTGAGCTCCCTCATCTTCCACGGATGTTTCTGAAGGGCAGTGGGAAGGGCGGGGGGGGCTGTGTTTAAATTTGGGAAGGTTTGAGAAAGTTTTGGAAAGGGAAAGTTTGGAAAGGGAAGGTTTGGGAATGTTTGGGAAAGGAAACTTTGGGAAGGTTTGGGAATGTTTGGGAAGGGAAAGTTCGAGAAGGGAAAGTTTGGGAATGTTTGAGAATGGTAATTTTTTGGGAATGTTTGGGAAAGTTTTGGACTATTTGGGAAGGTTTGGGAATGTTTGGGAATATCTGGAAAATTCTGGGAATGGGAAGGTTTGGGAAATTTTTGGACTATTTGGGAAGGTTTGGGAATGTTTGGGAATATCTGGGAAATTTTGGGGATGTTTGGGAAAGTTTGGGAAGGTTTGGGAAGGTTTGGGAATGTTTGGGAAGATTTGGGAAGGTTTGGGAAGGTTTGGGAATATCTGGAAAATTTTGGGAATGTTTGGAAATGTTTGGGAAGGTTTGGGAAATTTTTGGAATATTTGGGAAGGTTTGGGAATGTTTGGGAATATCTGGAAAATTTTGGGAATGTTTGGGAAGGTTTGGGAAATTTTTGGACTATTTGGGAAGGTTTGGGAAGGTTTGGGAATATCTGGAAAATTTTGGGAATGTTTGGGAAAGTTTGGGAAGGTTTGAGAAGGTTTGGGAAGGTTTGGGAAATTTTTGGACTATTTGGGAAGGTTTGGGAATGTTTGGGAATATCTGGAAAATTTTGGGAATGTGTGGGAAAGTTTGAGAAGGCTTGGGAATGTTTGGGAAAATTTGGAAAATTTTTGGAATGTTTGGGAAGGTTTGGGAAGGTTTGGGAAATTTTGGTAATGTTTGGAAATGTTTGGGGTGGTTTGGGAATGTTTGGGAAGTTTTGGGAAGGTTTGGGATGGTTTGGGAATATCTGGGAAGGTTTGGGAATGTTTGGGAAATTTTTGGAATGTTTGGGAAGGTTTGGGAAGATTTGGGAAGGTTTGGAATGTTTGGGAAGGCTTGGAATATTTGGGAAGGTTTGGGAATATTTGGGAAATATTTTGGAATATTTGGGAAGGTTTGGAAATGTTTGGGAATATCTGGGAAATTCTGGGGATGTTTGGGAAGGTTTGGGAATATCTGGGAAGTTTTGGGAAGGTTTGGGAAAGTTTGGGACTGTTTGGAAATGTTTGGGAAGGTTTGGGAATATCTGGGAAGTTTTGGGAATGTTTGGGAAGGTTTGGGAAGGTTTGGGAAATGTTTGGGAAGGTTTGGGAATGTTTGGGAAAATTTGGGAATGTTTGGAAATGTTTGGGGATGTTTGGGAATGTTTGGGAAGTTTTTGGAAGGGAAAGTTTGGGAAATTTTGGAGGAGGGGACAGGCCCAACCCACCCCAAACCGTGGCAGCTCCTGGCTGGTTCCCCAGACCTGGCTGGTGAGGAATCATCTGCAGATCCAGTGAAAACACCAACAGTTCCTTTTCCCCCCTGTTAATGGGAAGCAGGGGGAAGCACAGTGTGCAGATGAGCCAGAATTCCACAGAATTCCACAGAATTCCACAGCTCAGGCACTGCCCCTCGGGCCAAAGGAATCTGCAGAGGTTCTACCCTTCCAAAAAAAAAACCAAACAAAACACCAAACAATTGGCAGCAAAACATTCCATTTGCCTCTGATTGATTTTCCTGCTATTTCTTTTTCTTTCTTTCTTTCTTTCTTTCTTTCTTTCTCTTTCTTTCTTTCTTTCTTTCTTTCTTTCTTTCTTTCTTTCTTTCTTTCTTTCTTTCTTTCTTTCTTTCTTTCTTTCTTTCTTTTTCTTTCTTTCTCTCTCTCTTTCTTTCTTTCTTTCTTTCTTTCTTTCTTTCTTTCTTTCTTTTTCTTTCTTTCTTTCTTTTTCTTTCTTTCTTTCTTTTTCTTTCTTTCTTTCTTTCTTTCTTTCTTTCTTTCTCTTTCTCTTTCTCTCTCTCTCTCTCTTTCTTTCTTTCTTTCTTTCTTTCTTTCTTTTCTTTCTTTCTTTGAATTTGCCAAAAATAGCTCCCAGCTGTTCATGGCATGAACTGAAGTCTCCCTTTCTGGCATGAACCATCACCCTCCTCCTCCATCTCCCTCCTGCTGTGCCCGCTGGGGTTGTGTGGAGAGCCAAATTTTCCCCAAATTGCTCTCAAATCAGTTTTCACCCCCCCAGGCAGCACCAGGGATTGTGTGGGGCCAAGTGCCCTTTCCTGGTGGCATTTGTGTCTCTCTGTGTGACAGGGACAGGATCCCAGGGGATGGCTGGAGCTGTGCCAGGGCAGGGCTTAGGGTGGATTTTAGGAGACAGGTTCTTTCCCCAGAGGGTGGTTGGCACTGCCCAGGCTCCCCAGGGCAGTGGGCACAGCCCCAAGGCTGCCAGAGCTCCAGGAGGGTTGGGATGATCCTTGTGTGTCCCTTCCAGCTCAGGCAATTCCATGATTCCATGATTCCAGCCAACTGAGCCCCACCACAATTCCAAGCCCACCCAAAACATCCCCCCGCCATGTCCTTCCAGCTCAGCACCATCCTGGACATCCCAGCACTGCAGGTGGGATCAAAGAGGTCAGGAAAATGCATGTGTGCTTTATTTCATGGATATGTTGGAATATTGACATGTACAGAAGAGAGAAGTAACAAGTCTGAGCCCAGGATGGGCTGACACCCACCCCCCACCCCTCCCCACGCAGGGGTTATTGCTCCTGCACCACCTCCCAGCCCTGGATCTGCCCTCCCTGCTCTTGGAAAACGGTGTCCACGAGGACATGATGTGATGCCAACATGGATTCATCCCCTCACAAGATTTCCTGGGCTCTCAGGGCTGTCAGACCCCTGGGACTGGTGTTGAGCAGCCAAAAAAATACAGTTCTGTGGCTACAGAAAGTCTGGCTGGTTCTTAAATTATTTTTTTCTAATTGTTATTATTATTTTTTCCCCCATGACTCTTCTTTGTGCTTATGGAAGTCCCCAGGAATGGAGCAATTCCTAAAAAACCAAAAAAAATTGTCTCCCCTTTCTCTCCCTGTCTTGGCTTGCTCGGTCCTTCACCTGGACAAGCAGCTGTGGGGGTTGAAGAGATTTCAAGGTGAAGATCCAGGGTTTGCTTCACAGAATTCAGCAGGGATGGGATTTCATCCCCCAAAAAAAAAAATCACAAACTTGGAGGGAGAATCGACCTCAAATACTGGTGAAAAGGGGGAAATGATGGGGGGAAAAGCCAGGAAGGTTTGGGGATTGTGGTTTAATTCCCACCTGTCGGGCTCTTTGCTGCTGGCTGAGAGGCTCCTTGCTCCCTGCCCTTTATTCCAAAGCATCCCTGGAAAGCCTGGAGGGCCTGGGACAGTACTTGAAGGACAGGAGATGGGAATTGAGGGGCTCATTCACCTGTGATGCTCAGAGACTACAAATCCTAAGGAGCCTCAAGAGCAAGACATCCCTGGAAGTGTCCAAGGCCGGGTTGGATGGGGCTTGGAGCAACCTGGGATAGTGGGAAAAGTGTCCCTGTCTGTGGCAGGGGGTGGCACTGAGTGATCTTTAAGGTCCCTCCCAAGCCATGCCATGATTCTGTGATGTAAATCCAGGGGAAATGATGACACCTCTCACTGAGATTGTTAAAAATCATTTAAGATGAACCTTTTAAAAAGTGCTGCTCCGGGACACGATCCCGGACCAGGTGGCCTCTGGATTCTCCACAGCTGTTTCCCACAGCACAGGAGAGGTCAGGTGGGGTTTCCAATCATCCCAACCACCTGGAAAAACTCTTCCTCCCCTGGATGAGAAGGAAATGGCCAAGTGGCACTTCAGCATCACTGGAACCGAGCCCTGAGAGCCCCGGGAGTGGAGCCAGGAGAGACCCAGGAGTGGGTGCTCCTGGAGAGCAGCTGCCACTGGTGTCCCCACCCTGCAGAGACTGTGCACCAGGAAAGGCTGGTGGAGACAGGCTGGATGTGTGGGAAAGCAGGGAATGACCCCGGGACTGGGACACAAGAAGGCAATTCCCAGTGTGACCTCACGGAGCTGAGGTAGTTCCTTGCCCTTGGAGGGCTGAGCATCAGGGTTTTACCCCCTCCTCCCACCCCTGGCTCGGAGGACATGAGTTTTGCAGGGTTGGGGTTGTGTCACCTGCTCTCCCAGAGGACACTGAAGTCCTGGATGAAGGGGAGACCTTCCCAGCAGCTCCGTGCATGGATAGGGCACTTGGAAAGGACCTTCCTGGAGCTCTCCCTCCCTGACCTGGGGGAGCCTCTTGGCCACGAAGTTCTCACCTGGAAGTCTCAGCTCGGGGTGGGACTTGGCACCCTGCACACCAGGCCTTGGATCTGGGCATGTTCCCAACCCTGCACACCAGGCCTTGGATCTGGGCATGTTCCCAACCCTGCACACCAGGCCTTGGATCTGGGCATGTTCCTCTGCACAGCCCTGGCTTAGGAAAACCAGGAACTTTGGAGAGGATGCACCAGGATGATTTCTGTCCAGCTCTGACACACCCATCAGGTGTTCAGGTTCCAACAAGAGGGATTCCATGCTGGACCAAAATCCAAGGAAGCTGCTGCAGTTTCCCAGCAAAATCAGAAGCAGCAAACAGCAAACATTCCCTTGCAGGGAATGGGAATAAAAAGCACTGGATTGTGCTGTGTCAGCTGCTGCTAAGCCTTTCCATGGATCCAAATGCTCAGGAAATTATGGAGGAGCACAACCCCAGG